TTGCCATTCATGGTGAAGCTGTTTTTGATATGCTTAATGGTATTGAGCAATCTCATGCTTTATTATTAGATTCTCTGAAATCATGTTTGTGCAATGGATGTGTCCATATGCAGATCTATGTTCATGATGAGTCTGCCATCGATTTTCATATAGTGCCAGAAGAATATTAAGCATACTTAAGATAAAAAAAGGAACCCTCTATTGTTATTCCCTCTGGATGTCTCCAATACCATAAGCTGAATAGCTCAGACATAAGTAGGAAAAAACCTAAGGAACATTCAGCCCATTCCCAAACTCCTGCTTTGCTTCAAGTCACTCCCACTTTACTTCATAGGAAATTGCCAACACATCTAGGTGTACCATCAAGATATTTTTGAGAGAATAATAATGATATGGTTTCCATGACATTAAAACCACCCATTGAAGGAAAAAAGAAAAGAAAAGAATGTGAAGTAAAGAGGTCTCAATAGAATAAGGTACTGAAGATATAATCATCAGGGAGTTTCCTCACTGGCATAAATCCTATGTCCTAACAGATCAAAATCAATAGCTGTGTTTTTTTTTTCTTGAACTTGAGATGTAATGATAGGAAAAAAATGTCTAAATATTAAATCCAGACCTTAGACTACAGCTTCCAGAATCCACTGGCTATGCTAGATGGAGGAGCTCACATCTAAAAATTAATTTTTCAAAGCTGTCTCCTGTACACTACTAATCCAGCTCCTCAGCCTCTCATTCCTAGCTTTATTAGGCTGGGTGCTTTCAGACCCAAGACATATACTTCACCCTTGTGATTGTCAACTATATGATTTTGTATGTAAATTAAATGACTTATACAGTTTGCCCTTGCTGCTATCCCATGTTTTAAAACAAAGCTAGAACCACCAGAATGAAAACTGGAGAGGCTCATGTACCTTCAGTGGTTGTATAGAAGAGAGTATTTTGACTGGTGTTGCTTGCCCTCTCCAGTTTTCAATCTGGCAACCGTAGTTAGAGAAGAAACAACCAAATGTTAGACCAAAACACAAACAATACACCAACCAACCAAATAAAAAGCAATTGACCAACCCAGTTTTTTTTAAAAGCACACACACACACACACACAAAAAAAAAAAAACCCAACACTTTATATCTTTGCAAATTCACATTTTCAATTAAATTAAAACATAGCACCATACTTTCTACAGAAATAAAATTGAGTTTGTTTCTCATATTCTATGGCTGAACACCATTACTTGGAAATAAGCACCAATTTATTCTACAGAGATAATTCATTTTTAAAGTAATAAAGCAAGTTGCTATAATCATGATGCCTAGTAAGGTGACTTGCCCAGAATAGTTAAAAAAATAGGAAAAAAAGAAGATAGTACAGTGACCAACATTAGTCAAGACTGGGCCTGCTCTGCCCAATGGTAGTCCAAGTGTTGACTGTGTGTTGCCATTCCAGTCATCTGCTAATCTCTGGGTGGTCTTCTGGGATGGGCTTGCCTTAGGGATCCTGGATATTGGCCCTGATGTCCAACCTAGCTGCTCTACTGCCTGCACTGGGTACAGCTTCTCTGACAGAACTGGAATCCAAATGTATTACTTTTAAAAGCTGGCAAAGTGACATCTTTTACATTTAATCATTTTAAGGTTTAGGTAAGACAGGCAACTGTGATACTTATTTTAAATGAAGTATGACAAATGCATGAATCATATATATACATAAAAGTACATATATACTGTTCTTGGTTTTATTGTTCCATTTGAATATTTCTACTGTAAAAAAAAGGCAGTGGTTTTGAAATTGTTGAAAATAAATGTATTTTTGTACATCAGAGCTATCGTTTTAATTATTTGTGGTGGGTTCTTAGAGATGGCAATGGTTTCATACTTTCCAACATTTCACAGATAAAAACTGGGGTACATGTGGCCCAGGAACATCAGAGTGTGGTCAAGACAGCAAAAGTTCTAAGTGACAAAGGCTAGAGGATCTAGGATATGGTGCAGCAATCTGCTTTTGCTAAATCTACAGGGAAATGCAAGATTTCTGCCCTCCTCATCTCCTCTCCCTTGCTGCTAACTTAACTGAGTGCAAGCTATTTTTGTTGAATGCAATTTATACTAACGGGAGTACACCAATGATGAAAGATGAAAGTGGGAGAAAAGAGAGAGAGAAAGCAAGACATTTTAAAAGTAGCAGAAAAAGTGGGATGACAGAAGATTAATGAAGACTGTCCCTGCCAAATTGGATATGTGGTTTACTATGACAAGTAGGTTTGCTTGTTATTTCATGTAGTGCCAGAGTATAGCTAGAGTACATACTACATCATGTAGGATGCACTCTGCCTATACAGTCCTCATGTTCATAGGAGAGAATATTTCTGGGCTTAACAAATTGCAGATACCAGTTTGTGTGTAATGACAAATTTAGTTATAAACCAGGAAGCAGATATTTCCAATATTGTCTTAATTCATATGTTTGAAGAGAGGTTAAGGCAAAGTGCTTGAGGCCAGTAGGCTCACTTATATAGGTCTTAAGTAGGTTTTAGCATTAAATATGAATGAGCCAGCATCATTTCACTAATGTAGCTGTTGTTAGGAAGAAGAGAGCCAATTCATATTTGAAACAGCAGCCAATCTTGGGATCCAAATAGGTTCAACCCGAAGCAAACACTACATTTCCAGAACTAGGATCAGGCCTGCCAAGAAGGTGAGTGAAGCAATCATCTCAAGTAGTAAGGCAATGAGAACAGCTAACTCAAATAACAAACAGAACCATAATCATTAATTGAATCACACCAAACAAATGATAGAAGCAATGTCTAACATCCTGCATCAGATCTGATCCTAGACACCCACATTTAATACCAGTCAGTTGTCCAAGGTGATGGAGATTTGTGATGCTAGTGTACAGGTCACTGCAGGATGAAGTGACCAGCCCCATCCTGCCAGGAACAATGGTAATATGAAGCATTTCAACAAGATCTCACAGTTATATCTCCCTACCTCTACTCACCCAATCACAGGTCCTTACTAGCTTCCAATAAAGTAAACAATGTTAATTTGTTTATATAAATAATTAAGCTCCTCTAATTAGATGAAAGCTCTTACTAGGCTTACTCTGTATCACCGGGAGTCCAGTAGTTCTTGGGTGCCTTTCACATAATTATATTAACCATGTTATCCCAATAATCCTTGGATACATTACAAGTCAATCATTATCTTATGTTCTCTTTCAGGCCACCCCCCCCCCCTTTTAGCTTGCTTATAGTTAGGTTGTCTTCCCACCCAGAATTGGTCAGTGCCTATATCCTTGGCATTACAATAACATTCCTGCTTTATACCTTACAAGCACTCTTATTACATTGTTATTTAGGGGCTTAAACATGCACAATATAGCTGAAATCAGTGATCAGCCTGTAACATCCCTACTGTGTCAGAGACTGGCTGTACTCAAAAGCTGGATATTCCCCAAATACGGAACTACTGCATGTTCTTCCTCTTTATTTTTATGGACTAGGTAGGAGGATGGACATTGCTGATACCATGTTCTCCTACAATAGATCTTGTGTATAATTATTCTGGATTTGAGACACAGGGCTTTTACACACTAGTGACTTGTATCAATTTATATTGCACCATTTAATGCTGCTTCTTGATGTTTCTTGTCACCTCTTAATTCAAACACAATATTTTGGGAAAAAACAAACCAGATAAATGGCACATCTCAATTAATTTGTTGGCATCTTGCTTGTGGGTGAATCCCTCTCACACACCCCAGATATGTTTCCAAATGTATTTGCAGTATTCACCCAGCCTCTTCCTGTTTTTCCTCTAGCCCCTCAGTTTAAAAGATAAATAGATGACAGATAGATAGATAAATTTCTCAAAAGGTATAGTCATAAAGTAATGAACACACACATTAACTCTGTAGACAGTCTTCCCCAGTGCCTCAGTTCACAGGAGTGAATGTGTGTTTGTGCATGGATGTGTGGAAGTGTCATCTTGTTCTATGGAAAAAAACACAGAAAACATAGAAATAGTATCCATTTAGCACTATGACTTTGAGATTTAAAACAACAACAGCCAGAATCCTGTTGAACAATTACAAATGTGTAAGTCACAGTTATACATTCATAACTGCTACATATTCCTGATCCTTATGTAGCCCCTACTTTAGGGGCTATATATAGTGTGTGAAAGTTCCACAAACCCTACTTTCCAATAAGCAGCCACTGGGATTAATGGGACTCTGTTTCCACCTTTGTTAAGAAGCAGCTGCCTGATGTGTCCCCCTCCAGACATGCAAGCGATCTCAGACATGATTGGGATTTGCAACAGGGGCCCTTTTTTTTCATTGTTGCTCCTGGGATCACTCACAGAAGGAGATGGGAATGCCAGTCAGAAACTTCTTGATTGACAGGAAACTGGCCCTATCAATCCCAATGGCTGCTTACCAGTATGGGGTTTGTAGGGCATCTGACCTATATCCACTGTGTAACACTGTACAGTAGGCCCTTGATGTCCATTGAGGTTTGGTTCCAGGACCTGTGGATGCTCGTCCCATTAAATACAATGGCATAGTAAAATGGTGTCTGTTACATAAAATGGCAAAATCAAGGTTTGCTTTTGGGATATTTTAAAATTATTTTCAGTTCATGGATGCTTGAATCTGTGGATAAAAAAATCCATGGATATGGAAGGCCAACTGTAGTTACATATTGGTAATAGAATTATTACACCAAGAGGATGGAATTGTTTTGGTGAATTAAGTTCACTTTTTTTTTTACAGTGCTACACAGTGAATCCCATCACAGTACCCATAGTCCCCACTTACCAGGTAGCAATTGCTGTGATTGATGGAGATCTGTCCCCCTGTTGATCTGGAGGCAGCTAACAGACAGTCATTCCCACTCCTCCCATGCGCAGGCAGCAACAAGACCCCTGTTGCAATTCCTTTGCCTCCCTCTGAGGCTGAGAGTGTGGCTTGCCCAAGGTCACCCAGTGGACTTCCTTGGCTGAGCGGGGATTGAAACCCTGATTTTCAGAGTAGTAGTCTAACACTTAAACCACTACACCACACTGCCTTTTGATTATTTCCCTTGCAATCTTTAATACTATATCCTTTCATGTTTAGGATGGTTCTTTCTCTACTGGTTTCTCAGTCAAATTCAGTTTGTAATTCTGTGTGTAAAAATCTAGCACTTACAAATGTAGATTTTGAGAAGGTCTTGCAGTTAAAAATAGTCTGGGTAAGAGTGAGGGAAGATGTAATATGACAACATGGAAAAGGGGTGTTAAACATTCACAAATCCTTCTGAATGCAACAAATGTCTGTGCCAACAATTCGCTTCACTTTTAAAATGTTACATCCACCTGCACTCTGCAATGTTTCAATATGGCCACCTTAGAAATTCTGCTGGTCACACTCTTTAATCTCATGCTACAGAGTGTTATGTCTAAAAATCCCAGGTAGAAAACAACCATTTTTTTTTAAAAAAAAAAGTGAAATTCAGACATGATACAAGGATTATAAAGAAGCTGTCTCCTTTTCTCTCACTGATTTTCTTGGCATTCTTCCCAGTGCATCAGTACTGTTATTAAGCATTATCAAAGCACCACTGCAACACTGACATATTATTGTAATATATCAGCCAGGTGCTAGTCTCTTCCCAAGTATGTCAGTGCTATATCCCCTGACTGATAGTTGTCAAGAAGCATAAGGTGTTGAAACAAGTCTCCCTATGACATTTTACTGTGCTGTCTTTCTTTGAAGTGAAGGGGTTACTTTATGAGGAAGGTCAAGAGATGGGAGCAATAATCCCACATGACCTATACATATATGTTATACAATAGCTTTTTAGATCATAGTGCTGTGTGACAGTAACAGAAGAATAGAAGATTCCTTGTGTGGAGACCCAGCCTAAATTTAAGAGCTGGTACAGCTGTAGCTATGCCTATTGATGTGTTTGTAGTTGACTGATTCAACTAATGATGTGCAGCAATTTAAAAATCACATTATGATACTTACTTTGCTTATGATGCTTACTACTTTACTCTGGAAGAATGCACACTCAACCTATAGTCCTGTCATAGTGTAGCAGAAAAAGGAAGCAGTTCAGGCAAAGAGTAGGATGTTGCTTAATGTCTCATTAACTAGTAGCCTTTGCATACTCTCAAGAAAGTACAGTCAGCTGTACTTTTACAGCTTTGACTTTTGTAGATTTGATTATTCATGGATTCATGGATTTGATTATTATGTTCTCTCTAGCAATCTCTACATGTTCCAACATGACTGTAGGGTCAACGTCTACCAGAAATCACGCTGAAAGACCTAGAGATTCCTAGAGAGAATACTGCTCTAGGTATTTGTGTGCTAGCCAGCACAATTCTGTGGTCACTGTTTGGCAGAGGTTGACCATACAATTGTGCTGGAGGACCTAGAGATTCCTAAAGAGATGTTCTCTCAGGCAAAAAATATAGTGATTTATTATTTATGGTTTTTTTCCATTTCCCTGGGGAACCTGTATCCCTAACCCCAGTAAATGTGAGGCCTCACTGTAGTCACTGACTCACAACTATAGCCTTACTGTTAATCTAAGGGGCAGCTCCATGCCACCCCTGGGATTGCCGGATCGGGGCCATGACAATTGCACACCATGGCCCTAATCTGGCACTTTGCCTCTCCTTTTTGGAACGGTAAAAAGCCACCCTTGCCACAATGACAGTGGCTTTTCTGTGCTCCTTTGGTGCAACATGTCTAAACGCTGAGCCAAGGGAGCACCCTGACACTGCCTGCTGTCTGTTTGGGCAGGCAGCATGAGGGTGGTGTGAGGGCAGAGTTGGGGTGACCAGCATACAGTCGCCATGCCCTGACACCACCCCCAGGCCAGCCCTTTTGGCCGGTATGTACTGGCCTTAAGTGATGACAACTAACTCCTCTTGCAGCTGTTCCTTCCCCAGCCATTTAGCCATGCACTTTTTTTTTTTTTTTTGGAAGAAAGAGCTTTTCTGGACCTCCTAAATTGGCTCACTGCATTGCTTGAGTTTCCTAAACTGACCAACTCCCCTCAGTGGTGGTCCCTAACATATTATCATCATTGCTGAAATATTTAGTTGCCAATTCAGTCAGCTTCTGCCCATGGGAGAAAGAGCATCTTTTTTCCAGGAAAAAAAATATGTTGGTCCCAGTGACACAGCATAGAAAAAGAGCAGACCTGAATATTCTTGAGTTTCAATTATTAGTGAGGTCCATCTGGCTGGCATTCTGTACATCTGGCTGGCATTCAATCTGTAAGCTAGAGTTAAAGAATCCTAACTACTTCATATTTACTAACACTATTTAGTCATAATTGTGGCACTATTGCCACAGTTGTAAATGCTGTGTCATGTAAATGACACAGATTTGGAGGGGATAAGCAAGGAGATATTGGGCCTTTACAGATTGCCAGAAATAATGCACACTGAGATCACTTTAATTGTCCTGGCTCAGTGCTAGGGAATCATGGGAATTGTACTTTTTTTCTGAGGCATTGACCCTTCTCTGTCAGAGAGCTCTAGTGCCACAATAAACTACAGTTCCCATGAATCCTTAGCACTGAGGCAGGACAGTTAAAGTGGCCTCAAGCTGCATTATTTCTAGCAGTCTGTAAAGGCCCTAAGTAGGCAATGTAGAATATGGACCATTATTTTAAAACTAGTGACAATAGGATAATTTCTTCCACTTAGGTATTAAGTTCCATGATCCAGTCAGTATCATGCAAGCAAGTAGTTGGATTGGTGTTCTCTCTAACATGAGCAGCAGCAGCTACCAACACTAGCTCATATGTTCAGTTATCAGTCTCATGTCTGCCTGTTGTTTAACCTGGTGTTCTCTGCCTCCACCACTTCCTCCCTCCAGCATTTGCAGAAAAAGATGTGAAATTCTCTCTCTCTGCATGCTTCACAAAGATGACCACCAACAGTTTTGACTGGTGACAGCCATTTGAAGTTATGGCTTACAGTCTTTTGATAATTCCAGTCAGAATAGACCCATTGAACCAATGAGATTTACTGATGTGTTGATTTACCATTCCACCATCTCAATTCACTAGTTGAGACTGACCAATGAGATTCAGTTTGATATATATTTCCTCAGTCCCCATTCAGAAACCTGGCTTAATTCTCTATGAAAGTTAAGTTCTGAGAATTTCACTGACATATTCATAACATATATGGTAGTTACACAGATTCAAATCATTTTACCACTGCAAACTGCTAAGTCAGCAACAGCTTCAATAAGCAAGGTGGGCAATGAAAAAGAGCATAGTCAGGCAAGAAGCTGATTATGAATATTGTCTTTCTTGTAAATGCTGACCTAACTGCCATGAGATCAGTAGCAATGAAGCTGATGTGACCTAATGATCTCCACACAATTCTAACCATAATTTGGTGCTTTCATTTTCAGATAGAACCCATGAAATAATAACCTTAGCTTTTGAATATGACAGCAGTTACAAGCAATCTAAGAGGGATTAATGAGGGTTTGCTATTGATACAGAAGTAAAAATGTTTGGCAGGAAAAGGAAGTGCTACCCTCACCCCCTCCCCCATCTGCTACATGATGTGAAGAAGTAAAAGGTGAAAAAAAAAAAAGACATACACTTACTTTGTAGCAACTGAAAGGCAAAGAAGCCAGAAAGTCAAACATTCCATGATTTTCTAGTGCTCCCTGTGCTCTAGAAGAAAAGCAAAAGCTAAGGAGCTGAATAAAAACAAAACTGAATATAGACAACTATTGGGCTTGGATGTTTGCTTGAAAACAGTGAAAAGCAAGAATACATTAATAGACGGTCCAATCAGCATTAAATTTTAAAGATGAGCATCAGGCTGTAGAATTTTTGGCCAAATCTGTGGAATATATTAAAAACTTATTGACCCTTATTTTATACCCAGTTTGTGGAACACTGCAATCATAATTTTCTATGACTTCATGTTTATTTCATGTACTTTCAAATGTCTGACCCATCTTTCAATCACAATACTGCATGTGGATGTTTACAGTATAATAGAGGGTGAAACTACAAGGAAGAAAAATACCAACCCTATAATAAACATCAACAAGGGAAAGTCTACAATGACAACAAAATCTATTGCTTTCACCAACAGTGTGGTAGAAAAAACCCCTAGTCCTATTACCTTTTCTAAATTGCCATACGGAAAACAATTCAAGTGTCTAAATTCAGAACATGACAAGTAATAAAAGTTGAGATCCTGGACTGACAGATGTAAGTGTATCAAGCAGCTATGTCTCTTATTTTTACCTCCCAAAAATTCACCTTGTAAGGAGTGCTGTTCCCCCAACATGGTCCATTTCCATGTTATCAGAGAGCTGAGGGTGAGTGGGGATGCCCTTTCTTGTAGCTGGACCTGTTGCAGGACAATATCTGCGGAATGTTCCTCAGAAAAACAAAACAAAACAAAACATACCAGGGTCCCTGTAGCTGCTTGTCTGAGGATGTCTAGCTACAAGAAAACAGCTGGTTGCATCCTCACTAATCTACCTGCTCTCCTACAACATGGAGTGGCTGTGTGTGTGTGTGTGTGTGTTTCGGGAGGGGGGTACAAATAACCACTAATAGTGATTTGGTCATTGCATGGTTGGAATAGAATTCTTTTTTAATTTGTATTTTTTATTAGAAACTCATTTTGACAAGCAGGGCTCTTGCTTCTGACTGTAAACATAACAAGAAAAATAAATTAAACAACAACAATTAAACAGCTACATACATTTAAATGTCTATATTATTATAGACATTTATAACATACTTATATAAAAATAATCTATACATACCTCCTCCATCTGTCTGTTTTCATAAAATGTGTTTGCTCATGTTTCTAGTCTTCTGATTGAACATGTAATTTCTTTGTCTTAGTTTCTCAACTACAGAGCACCGTGGTTAACTATAATTTTATCTTTAACTTTCTCTTTTTCAGTATTACTTCTTCCATTGGTTGGAATAGAGGTCTGACCCATGAAATGACCTTAAAAGTGATAGAACATAAATATCAAACATATGCCTTTCTAATTCACAAATGTCAGTTGACA